TTAGTCCAAAATACAAACTAGTGATTTAAAAAGATTTCTGCAAAGTATTTTAATGTTAGTATCATATTACATTTTAGTATATATGCACAAAGTATAAATGTAAAGGCGTGCTTATTGGAAATTTAACAATCCTTTATTGGCTCTGTTCTTTTTTGTCTCGCTGCTGCACCGTTCGGTAGCTGGAGATTAACACTGTACGGTGAAAAAATTCTTCTTCTTCTTCTCTATGTCGTTTGAATAAGACGCTAAACACATAGGGACTGGAAATTCAAAAACTTTGATGACGCTATAAAATCTAGCGACACAAAAAAACAAAGGATGCGGATGTTTCTAATAAATCCGGAGATATCAATTAGAAAGACGATGGTTGATTTTTTGTTTTCATTTTATAATTTTAATTGTTGGACGATGCCGCAGTGACAACAAAAAGAAAAGGCCCATTGCCAAAACAAGATCTCTTAAGATTTGATGCGTATTTTATGTTGAAAACAAGATTATAAAGAAAACTTTAATCACTAATAGTAAAGGTAAGTAAAGGTAAATGTCAACATGTGAGATCGTGTGGACCACACGGCATATAGTACTAATTTTAAGCACCCTGGATTTGGTCTATACTCTATACTAAATCCAGACCAGACACTGTTTGGTATCTACTTAAAAAAACTAAAACTATCTACTTGGGTAAAAGGAAAAAACAATAACCCTATAATTGATAACACAAATCTTTAAACCATGCTGAAAAACAGATCGGTAAGATCTCTCTGTTTAATATTCTCTAAGTAATCTCTCAAGATTAATGCAAGTGTAAATAAGTAAGCATCTTCCACAAATTATGTGATGTACGTTTCTCATTGGATCTTTGGCGATTCTGAATATTTTACAATTAATTTATTCTACTTATTTACAATGGTCAAAACTTAAGAATTAAATCAACTTTGTTGGTAATTTTCAGCATTAGAATCAGTCAAACAAACTCATTATTACATCATAAGAATTAGACCAACTTTCTGAATTGGGATGATGGCAAAACCTTTTAATAAAGTATATGCATATTTAATACGCTTTCCTTCTCGTTTTATGTGTCTCTTTTAGTTTAGTAGTAACAATTAGCGTCAAAAACTTTGGACGGAAATTATTGCATGAAAAAGTGGATACATAGGATTAGACCTAGACTACCTATCCACCTTGATCAGACCTAATCACGTTTTAATAATTCGTGATGAATATGAGACATATAATAAAACCACTTTCCTAGAAGATCATAATATAAGGAGGGAAAAACGAGTTTAATTAGTATAAACATAAATATATTACGGAAGGGAAGTTACGTGAGGGTTGGAAGTTATCACTTCTCTTGCTGCTGTTGTTATGTTGATATTTTAATAAGTTAGATAAGATTATCAATTGAGTAATTATTTAGTAAGACTTTAGTAATCAAGAAGGCAAACCGGCCTCCAATATTCCCGCTGCCATGGTAAGCCGACACACGGACATAATGTGTCCAGAAAACAGTTTGAAGTATTTTTATGGAATTAGTAATAAGAAATGGCTAGATCTATAATATCTTCAAAAATCATGGTGCCAGCTTATTCACCAAACGAACATAACGCATATTTAACTATCTAAAATGGAATAAGTAAGTAGATAACAACCAATGCCAGAAAGAAAAATAGAATAGTACATGATAATCAAAGCAAATAATAGAGAAGAATGCTAAAAACTAGTAGTAGTAGAATATAAATATTGTTTAAACCGAGATAAACTCGTTCGAATATATAACTTAAAATAAATTAATAGATCCTGTATGTTTGAGTAGATATAGTCATAGACTTGTAGGCAAAGCCAAAGGCACCTAAATTGGAAAAATCATAGAGAATCCAACTTCCCCCCTTGGAATTCGACAATATGGTTTATGATTTAAGAAAATAATATAACATGTTAATTGTGTATTTTAATATGTTATTACTCCAAAACTGTTGGCATTGTTCCCATGTCTCATCCAATAATGTAATCTCTCCGATTAACGTCATGAACTGTTTTCACATCAAACCAATAGATTCTGCGGGCCATTACTCGTATATTAAGATAAATAATAAACTTTAAAATGTACTCATATGATGTTAACAGTATTTTTATTTGAGCAAATATGTTAACAGTTTATAATGCAGTCAAACATATAAAATTTGTCTTGGATATGGTGCTAATCAAAGTAATAACCATATATGTAAACTATAATGAGAATGAAATTTGATTCAGGAGTCAAACGTTGCGTCTAACTTAAAAATCATAGCGTCCTTCAAGATGTGATATTCCAAAATTTTCTCCTCGTTCATCTAATGCCATTAACTTCACTCACATGATGATTTCAGCATTTTTCATGGACTCCCCTCCACTTAAGTTAACTGAAGTTACGAGTTTGATCATTGGTTTTGAAGTTTTTTTTCTTCATTTTGTACTATTTTGTTTAACAGAGAGTAAAAGCCTAATTGGCCTTACACACAATCTTATGTTAATCTTATTTAAACCCAATGAATTTGTTTTTTTTAAAGGTTAAAATAATTCAAAAATACGTTTTGTATGATGAATGCATATTTGCATTGCAAGCTTGCAGCATTCTTATAGAGCTTTTAACAATTAAAAACGGAAATTGATGCTGAGGACTTATGTTATTGCGAACCAAATTTTTAGAGCTCTATCGTATTTCCCCCCACCTTGTTGTCTAGTAGTGACTATCCTCCTTTTCACTCCGTGTTGACAAAGTTTACCAACCGGGCTGAGTCCTGAGGGTTCTCCGTGTTTCCTTACGTTTTTTTTTTTGTTGAAAAAACCCAAATATCAGAAGATGAAGAACATGTCGATAACAAGCCGGCCTTTTGTTTTAAGTATCCAAAATCTAGAGGAGATACGCGATTATGATCAATGAATATATCATTGTCGAGTAGACAGCTCTGGAGGTTATCCTACCCAATAATTAAGACAAGGATTCGCTCACATGTATACAATGTTTGTTGAATTAATGCGCTAAGCACAAGACGCTTATTGATAAACCCAAGTATACATCTCAACGTGCTTTTTCTTGTTATGAAGGTGTCGTGTCGTCTATCTACATTTCAAATATCCATTCATCGAATCTGACTTAAGAATTACATCCTTGTTAGATGGCAAAAATGTTATATATCTTTAACAGTTAGACCAAAAAATATGTTCCCGTTATTTATTACCCTAAGAGATAAGTTGCATGGAACCACAAAAGACAACAATTGAGAGCAACGGCCATGACTTCAAGGCTGAGCAAGTAAAAATAATAAAATAAATCATTTTAGTAGTAAATAACTTCTTTTTTTTTTGTCAACTAGTAGTAAATAACTAAATATAAAAAAAGGGTTTCTTACACTGTGATCTCAAGCCTGTGATCTCAAACCGTCTAATGTACCTGTGATCACAAGCCGTTAGAGCCTTTAATTTCGCTCATCCTTTAGTTAGGTTTGTGATCTCAAGCCGTCTAATGTACTCCGTGATCCAACAATTGTGTTTGTGTCGCTGGCTTCTAGCCAGTGTGAATGTTCTGCTAAGTTTTTGTTACACTTAATATCTACAACTTTAATATTGCTTTATTATTACTTATCTCTCCTAAAAGAAAACAGTTTGCTATTGACACATGATAAGCTAGGAATCATCATCGTCCTTCCTGAAAAACATATTCTTAACCTTAACCAAAGTTATTACTTATTAGCACTCGTGAACTTAATTTTTTTTTATGCAAAGAAATTAAAACTTTGTTATGTTCTTGATACATAGAATAGGTACTTAGGATCTTGAAAGCTCAGAAACACAATCGTACCCTCTTCAGATTTAATGACACAGGATCTTGAAGCACTTGTGATGCAATTTAGGAGGTGGTCAAAGTTGTGAACATGAGTTTCTCTATAGTCGTTCATATACAACAAATAAAAAAACTCAATGCTGTAGGCTGTAGCACAAAGAAAGAAACAAACATCAAGAAGCAAAAGCTCCCATGATCTCAAGAAAGGGAATGGGCCTACTTTTAGAGCCGAGATTCATTAGAATCTTGGGATGTGGTGGAAACATCTGTAGCTGTAGTTTGGCCATGAACGGATTCAAACCCATTGGCAAATCGTTCGCAAATACAATGAGCACCTGAAAGACATTGGGAAGGCTTGATTTGAGGTTGTCCAGTGCCATTCTCCTACTAACATCGACCGAGTTCAAGTACTTAGCTTTCTCAATGTCCACTCGTTATCTCAAGGCTTCGATCTAGCTTTTTTGTTTGACAACGGATGCTTAAATTAAATAATTAAGAACATAGTTTGTAAGTTAGTGAAAATATAAATCTAGCTTTTTTGTTTGACAACGGATGCTCAATTCTATTTTTGTGAGAGCTACGTGTGTTGTAACTAGATAATTAGTGAATTTACGTCCTTCGTTGTACTTTGCATAGTTGCATACATCGGTGGCTTTCAAAGAATCAGTTTTACTAGGCTACCTTATGTGTGTTCTTAGTCTCATGCGTCCTATTTTTTGTTTTTTGTGTTTTTTTTTGGCTTTTGACAAGATTATATTAATTCTTGTTCAACACTTTAAGCTGATTCCATGGAAGCAAGCTCGAGAGCTCAAAATGAAGAGGATGATGAATAGAAAGTTTGTTATTCAGCTCAAATGTCGGTTACGTACAAACCTTTCCTTCTATACATGATTAAGCAAAAGGAAACTTAACCAAGATTAACCATAATTAATCTAACTAAACTGGACTCTTAACTGATCTAAATTATATCCAATAGATCATCTTATTTCTTGACGTGTACGCTTTGGTAGTAAATCTCTCAATATGTAAAATAAATCAAACTTGTATAGGTCAATGTTAAATTTACATTTTTTGTTAATAACTAAATATTCCTAAATTAGACTTGTAAATATGCTCACCACAAAGCATTACTTGAAGTTAAGAAACAAGAAAACCTAAAGAAAGAGATCAGTCAATTATGGAGCAGAAGCTTATTGTAGACCGTAAGGAGTCTTCATTGAAGACTGTCACTTTTAATGACATAGGTGTCTACGCCTCATTTTCTCTAGGCAATAATTCCAAGTTGAATAAATCCTACGCGAGGAAGACATGTAGTCTCAAAAATTGCAAGTATCTCGAGAGGGAACTCAGGATCATGCTTCGTTTCCACACCAATCCTTTCATCGTCCATGCTGCAAACCATAACATTCACTTTGAGACCAACGCCCAAGGCGTGATGTGTCACATCTACATGGAGTATGCTACCTTAGGCAATCTCAAAAAGTTAATCTCTGCTGCTGGAGGTGCATTGCCTGAGGTTAGTGTCAAGCTTGCCGCTCGGATGATCCTACAAGGGCTCAAGGCTCTTCACTCGGAAGGTTACGTACACTGTGATCTCAAGCCGTCTAATGTACTCGTCTTCCCTTCAACCACTTGTGGAGTTCCATGGGAACTCAAGCTTGGTGGTTTCGGTCTATCCAAAGAGCCTTCAATGAACTCTAGGCTCTACTATCCTGGAACCCGTGAGTACATGCCCCTTGAGTGGACTGATCCCAACAGGTTTGTTGGGAACGACGCATATGTGGCACAGGCCCGTGATATATAGTCTCTAGGGCGTACGGTTCTTGAGATGTTTGGGGCCGTTCCAATTGATACGGGAAGTTCTTACAAGTGGAGGCTACACCGAGATCTCTCTCCTGAAGCCACAGACTTCTTGAGGCGGTGTTTGACAATATGGCCGACAGATAGGGCCACCGTGGATGAGCTCTTGGACCATCCCTTTGTTGCTAAAAAACTTCCTTTCTATCTTTCTTTCTTGAGGTTTCCTTCTTTCATAAGGAAGATGGCCACTGAACTAGTGTACGGAAAACATGAAGAATTGATTCCAAAACCTCAAGGCTTGGACTGGTGACAGAGGTAAATGAAACACTTGTCTTCTGAGTTGCTTAGTCGTTTTTTATCGAGTTTATGTGTTAACTTGTTTTGCAAGAAAAAAGAAAGACAGAGGCGACTCTGTTCCTTTTTCCCAACTTGTGGTTTTGAATATTTGTGTTTGTGTTGCTGGCTTGTAGCTAGTGTGAATGTGCTGCTAAGTTTTGCGACAAGCAATATCTTATTATTACTTATCTCTTTTAATATCTTACTAAGATAAGACCTGCTTCTTTTGGATGATAAATTTATAGAAAAATTAATTTAAAATATTATATGAAAATGCATCTATATTCTTGATTGATTTAATATTTTGGTCTTTAAATATTTTTTTAAACTTTTTATTAATTACATAATTTATTTACTGATGAGTTAATTTCATTTTTAAAAATGTTTTATATTTGAGTTGTCATGATCTTCGCTCTGCCTACACTCCAAAGGTGTGTCTTTGAATCCAATAAATATTAATACTCCACAACAGTCTTCTGAAGAGGGGCTCTGAACTGGCCAACTGTATGGTCACAACATGTATTGCTTTAAGTCTAAGAGCTTCTGCCTCGACTGAACCAAGAAGAAATGCACAATTCATTTGTGGGAGAAGAGGCTGAGAGTATGTGCGCATCAGCTGGATCCATGAGGGGCAAGTTAGTTTCATTGCCAATTCGATTTCACCCATTTTCTGGACTCCATTTGGTTGAATCAGTGCAAGAGGGTAAGAATATGTGTGAATTCAACCAATCTGGAGTTAAGATAGTTTGATCCTGACTTTTCCAATCTTTGAATCTTCTGTTCTATCTCTATCTTCATCCACGCTATCAAACACACCAACCGTAACAAGAGCGCATGGGTCAAAAACATCCCACCCAAATGTTTTGTTCTAGGTGGGTGTAAAACTGCTACTGATTGTTCTGTTTCGAACCCATTTATGGCCACACTTCGCTACACAATAGACATCTGTGGTCGAGGAACCATTATCAACCAAGTTCAAACCTTGCTTCATACTAATTTTGACTTCTTCAGCTGTAAAATCTGTTAGTGAAAAAATTTGGTGCCAAAATATATTCCCAAAGTCTCCGCAACTTCTAGTTCTCCACTTGTCATTACCAACCCTGATTTCCACGTGTGGATTTATACTGCCAATTAAGAAAACCCACCCAAATAGTTTACCAAAAGAAAAATTCTTCCAGATTTTATTTAACTATGGTAGGATGAGATGTTGGATTTCCCATCTACAAATTTGTAATCTAAACAGTTTGGTCTTTATTTTGCCAATCCTTGAATTTTTTATTTCTTTGTTGTTAAGCACGCTGATTGTGCAAACATTGTACATATTTGTTTGATTATTTTCATTACATAGCAGTTTCATGTTGACTTTGATTACCTTTGTTTGAGCTCATTTCTAACCATACTTAGCTACAAAATATGCATATATCGTTTGCAGACCATTCATTTGTTTCCTAGGAAAAACTCATAGTATCAAAACAAAATCATAGTATTAAGGATTCCAATTCGACACACCAATCACAAGCTTTATTAATTATGTATATGATGGTGTCAAATCACTAAAAATATGAAGTTTAGTTATATTTTATGAGTTTGAATCAGTCTCCAAAACAAAATAATAAATACAATTTTTTATGTTTATAAACTTAAGAAGAAAAAATGAACTACAAAGAAATATTGATGGATGTGCTTGAAGAATTAATGAAATCTATAATCGATTATGGCCTATGTAAAACAAAGAAGATGCTTTTGAGTTTAGATGATTAAAAATGAAATAATTTATTTCATGGGAGATCATGCCTAGATGAATTAATTAAGAATTTTATGAATAATTTTGGTTTATTGAAATTTAGGTTTATATTAAATTATATAGAAACTTTTTTTTTGCTAAAAGAAACTAAAAATTGATGTTGTCGGATATAGTTATTTGTTAATTATTAAAAAAATAAAGAGATAAAAAGTCTCAATGGAAAGTAGCGTAGATGACTTAAGTTAAAATAGCCATCCCTAAATTATGCTATCTTTTGTTTGATCTGTATATTCGGATGCTGCGTAAATATTGTTTGTGTTACTGCAACCAAATAACTATATTACCAAATAATTTGTTTATTATGTTATATTGTAAATAGCATATCGATATTAAGACTCTGCAATATCAAGTTTTTTTCCTGCTGGTGTAACTCTATAAATTGCATAATTTAGTTATGGTTTTTTATCATATCTTACTTTTGAGGAATCACAAAATAACAGTGCCATTTCCAAAAGGTTATTACTTCTTGGTGATGTACTTTTTACAGTTTTGCTTCATGCAGCTTAAGAGTGATGACTAAATAAAAAAGCTCATATGGTGGCCGACCTCCTTTGTACCGAAACTAAGGAGTGAAACAACGCTGAGGTGAACTTGAATCTATTAATCATCTCTTTTTTCAATGTGATTTTGCTGATAAAATCTGGAAAGAAGCTCCACTGGTAAAGAGAGTTGATAGAAGAGGATTAATAGATTTGGAAACCGTGTGAATGGGTGTAATAGAGAGCCCTTGTTTACCCCCTGTGGGCATTGTTGATGGGCAGCTAGCACCATGGATTATATGGGCAATTTGGACAGCTCGGAATAACTTGATTTTCAATAACGAAGGATGGTCTCCGGAAGATGTTATCTCGAAGGCAATTGTGGCAGCAAGGGAATGGATTAATGCTCAAAACAAAGAAGGAAACATTCCTTTGAATCTGCGCAGACCTGCAGCTATACCGCTTCGCAGCTTTGTAGTCCAAACCGATGCAGCATGGAGTGTATCAACCAAGAAAGCAGGTTTAGGATGGTTAATCAAGCAAACAGGGGAACCTCGGCGTTTTCAAGGAGAAGCTACACTTGTAAGCTCGCCTCTTGTGGCGGAAGACTTGGCTATGCGTGACGCAGTGAAGAATTGTAAGGAGCTGGGGCTCCAGCACGTCATCTTTGAATCGGACTCAGCACAACTTATCAAGACATTGAACTCAATAGTAGAACCTCCGGAACTATATGGAATTGTGTCTGATATTAGAATTTCTTGTCTTCATTTTATATTCAGTACCTTTTGCTGGATCCCTCGAGCTAAAAACTGAGGCTGATCGCTTGGCGAAGCAGACATTATGCCTTGTATCTGGTGGTGCAATCACTTCATTCTTTTAGTGTAATGAAAGTTTGTGTTTCAAAAAAAAAAAGCTCATAAAATAAAAGTATATATCAAAAAGTTTGTGAAAGCAAATTAGCACAAAAAAAAGACTTGCATAATATTCTGCCATAACATAGGAACAAGAACAATCCATAATGGATCATATATTAGTCATATTACATACTAGTCCTCTGAATTTCAGAATACTTGAGCATAGAAACCTAACATTAATAGATTACATAAATAAACCCTTCTCCCATGGGAAATGGAGTGAGCTCAGTCTTCAAATGAAGGACCAATTAACAAACATAAAAGCTAAGCAGTAATTTGATTCATCGTCTTCAAGAACTTTCCACACTGTTGCCTGCTCGTAAGACACCAATCTCCCCATGCTTGACGCACATACACCCGCAGGAAGATGAGTATAGCCCTTTACAAAATAATTCAAGGTTTTCAAGTCAGACAATGATTTTTCAAGAAAATGGCAATAAAAAGAAAATGAAACAAACCTGTTGCATGATCTCGGGGAACTTAGAGCATATACCTTTACGACCAGACTCGTCTAAGGTCTTGTCTAGTGTTATGTCTTGAAGGGATACAAGAGTAGTTTCCAGCATGTCTAAACCGGTTTGGTTTGCAAATGTGAAGACCGGTGAAGCCTGCAAAAAAAAAAGAGTTATTGTCACACTTATCACCACAAGTTCAAGAACATGTCCCTAGGGGCAAATTCAAGCAAACACTTACGTTTGTTTTCATGGAGCAGCACAAGATTGCATCAGTGTGATTCCAGAGTTGATGCAGCAATGTGTCACCACTGGTTTGAGAATCAGAGCCAAAGAGATCTGCACCAGTTTGAACTCTACAACAGCCATTACAAAGACAGTTTCAGACTAAATAAACAAAAACTCACTATGTAAATTAACAAACAGACAAAACCTAGAATGTTAATTAGTACCTGTAACTCCGGGAGATCCAACGGACTAGAGTGAGAGCTTCAGGGGAAGTGGGAGCAGATATTGAACTGATACTAGAACCAGGACGAGGAGGAGCAATAGCTAGAGCAACCCTCTGAATCGATCCCACTATGTTTCTCACGTACTGACGTGCCATTGAAGCAACATTGTCTCTTGTGTGGTTATCAAATGTGAACTGGAATGCTATGGTTAGTACCGACCTAAAGTTACAACCATTTGGGTCTGCTTGATGTTTTGATCCTTCTAAAGCTGATGCTAAGTCCAATGTACGGTTTGCAGATGTACCGTTCTATATGACAAGTGAAAATATTAGTTCATTGCATCAGGAAAATATATGTGATTTTGATATATTACCGGGGTTGATTTTTGTTCAAGAGGTATGACACGGAAGCCAGAAGGAAGCAAAGGTGCATCATCAGCGAAGGATTCATCGATAGGAGCAAAGACAAGCTGTGCACAACCTCCAACTACATCTTCATCAACACCACTACAAAGCTGTAGTAAGTACATATCTCTAGCTAAACCCATGTCTTCAGGTGAGTAAGCATGACCTTCGAGTCTAACCACCTCAAGAAACTGAAACAAAGAAAGGATTCAAGACTATAAAAGGGTATTAAGAGAAAAGCAAAACAGTGAAGATGTTTTGACTTTAGGCACCTCTTCATGTTCAACAGTCTGTGCTAGTGGGAGAATGACTTGGTTACTTGGGAAGCCACCAGTTCTAGCGCAAGGAACAGCAAAAGGATTTGATCTGAGGGATGCAGCAGCATAAGCATCCACACCATAATCAGCCCACTCTGAGCGGTGTTCTCTAAGGAATCCAACCAGCATAGCAGGTGGAACATTCTGAAAGTGATGCAAGTTAAGTAAACCAAAGACAGAAACATAAAAGAAAACTTGTTCTTATTATCTAATATGTACCTGCAACAGCATAGATGCCTTGGCACAAAGCACACCACTACCAAAGCTAGGGAGGAAAGACCCAACAAACTTTCCAGGGGACAAGTTTATCATAACTGTAATATCTTCTGCACCATCGCTACCCATTGGCGACCATCCATCATCCACAAAACCATTAACAGCATCATTGAATCCCCTGAAGTTCATTCATCTGAACATTTAGAAACAGAAGGAAAAAAAACACTTGGCAGTGAAGTTATATTTGAATTAAAGTGATGCATACCGAGAGAGTCTTTGACTAAAGGTTCTTAAAACCGCAGGTTGGCGTCCTCCACCGTATTGAACTTCTCCACTTGTCTCTTGTGCGATTTGTCTTACATGTCTCAGAGCCTGTAATAAGAAACCAAACATAAGAAACACAGAAGCAGTTAACAAAGTTGTGGTTGTTTGAACTTACAGCAACGGTCATTTTCTGAGCAAGAATCTTCGAAGATTCATAGAGAGGCCTCATGACTTCAGGGACACTCAACGCCTAGTGAAAACAAGTCAAGAACATTATTATTATTAAAGAGAGCTGAAGTGTTTTGAATAAATTTGACTTGTTTTTGCTTACATCCAAATCAACATGGTCAACAATGTGGAGAATGGAACCACCACCATCGCAAGGACGGATGAGAAACCCGCTTGGTCGCATCTCAGCTCTCACAAAGTTTGAAGAAGGTGGCCCAGTGGGGCCACCAGTTGCAGCTGTAAGCGACCTCTCACAAACCTGAAGACAATGTAGTGAGTGAAGGCAACAAGAAATAATTTAAAATAGGCAAAGCAGGTTCAAGAACTCACCACATAGCTTCCATCTTCTAAACAGGTGCTGTATCTCAGCGTCCAAAAGTCACGAGCTGCTGCCAACGTTGTTGGAGCATACATCTGATAATGATTAAAAGCCTTAGTAAAGTTTAGAAGGAAGTGAAACTATAGAGATGACTACAAGAATTTAGGGAGGACCTGCGTGTATATAAGCTCGAGACTCCCACCGTTTCCAGTTGGAATCACACTCAGAGTATCCACACTTCGACAATCACGGAGCCAAGATTGACGATCTTTGAGGATTTCAGCAACCTACATTTTTCATATCAAGATTTAAGTTAAAAGTTTTTCTTTATATTTCCTGATTACAGACAGAAAACAAAGTAACTCATGTACCTTCATGGGTTCTAAACTCACGAGGCCGCAGGCACGTGCTGCAATTCCACTGCAGTTGCGGGAAATAGCTACGATGCCAATAGAATCCGGACCAGGCTACACCAATTTTAAACAATTGTTTCATCATTACAAATCTTTTTAAGACATAATAAAACAACAGGAGATTATACAACCTAAAGAGTTGTTTTATTACCTTCATCCCAATCATCTGAACCCAGTCAACAGCAGTTCCTGTAGCCTTGGAAAGGAACTCTGCTAGGGCCTCCTCTGCTATCGAAAGGAGACTAAAACCAAAAAAAAAAAAAAAAAACCATTTAAACAAAGTATCCAACAAGCTTTAAACATATATATATGCAGAGTATAGTAAGAAAAGCTTACCCAGCTGGGTTGTTAGCATCACGTTGCAGATGATGCTGAGGATTAGGGTTTTTCTGTTGATGTTGCTGACCACTTACTACGACCACAGACTCACAGCTGTTGTCTGTGGTCGTCCCAGAAGCCTACATTCCAAATAAAGATTAAAAAAAACTATTAAGCAAAAAAATATAACAAATATGATATTTGAGACTAAAGATGAAGAAGAGGTTACAGTGTGGATTTGGTGTTTCATGTGGCCATTCTCATAGACCAAATGAGAAACTTGCTTCTGCAAACGATCATTTTCTTCCATCAAGAGTTTATTCATTGCATTGAGCTTTATGTTCACTGTTTGGAGACGAGCAGCTTCTTTCCTCTGCTTCTCTCGACATCTAAAAAAACAAGCGAACCAAAAGGAAGCTTTAATAACTCAACCATGCGAAGATAAACTCAAATGTTTACATGTATTATGTAAATAAATGTTAGTGGATGAACAGTGACAACATATATAAAACCACCACCAATGATATAAAGAGGAAAAGATAAATGTATTTTTTTCAATAAATGTTAACAAACGCATTCAAAGACAATTAGATGTCACTTTCTTGCATTTAAAGTTTCAACTCTGTCAAAGCTTTAAACCAAAACAAAGTTTCCTGCTCTGAGGGGATTTACAAGGCATGGATCTACATTAAAAATTTGAAACGTGATGATCTTAAAAGAAAAAGAATCATAATTGTGAAGATCAGCACAGCATGGAAAATTTCATTATCATTTTTTTTTGTCTTTATGGACTTAATTACAAACAAAAAGACAATCTTTTAGGTAAGAAACAAGTATTCTACTGGTAACAAAAAAATTGATTTTGTAATAACTTTCACCTGCGGTTCTGAAACCAAACTTTGATCTGTTTGGTCTCGATGTTGGAGAGAATAGGACATTCTCGTATGAGTTGCTGTCTTCTGAGGGAGCTAGGCTTAGGACACTCAGTGTAAACTCTTTCAAGAGCTTCCACTTGCTCCGGTGTGTACCTAACATACTTGCCGGAATCCAACCCTTTATCCGGTGACTCTCTGTGCATCGTGTGGACCATCATATCTCAGTAGAGTCAAAAGACCCAGATGGAGTTTCAAGTTAAAGAATGAAACACTTTCAAGTGATCTTTTGTGTGTTTTTACCTAAAGCGTAGCTGCTAGGTTCTTTTTCAAGGGTAGGCTACCCTCTGTGTAGAGAGAGAGCCTCCACTAACGTTCATGAGATAATGGTGGGAAGAAAAAAGAGTTTTGGAAAGAAAAAGATATGTTTTTAAAATTCTTTTTGTGCTTTCTTTCTTTCGGTTATTTTTGGTGAGAAGAGAGAAAACGCTAGTGAGCAATGGCGAGAAGAAGCAAGAAAGGGAAGCAAAGTAGTAGGGGGTCTTTATCCCAGACGCCAATATCGAGATCCTTTAAGACATGTTACAAAAACATTTTTTTTTTTTATAACACTGAGTAGTAAACAAAGTTCAAGGGAACAAATATAAAGACTAATAACGAAAAGAAAGATGTCAGCAGACACCGTCACAAAAATATTTGATAGTAAAAGCAAGAATTACCCACTTCCTTACTTATTTAGCCTCCAATACGAGAAGATGAAGGTTACAAAAACATTTAAACTTGTAAAAGAAATTTTTTTTTCCTTTCTGTGGCGCGAGAGAGAGAGGGGTTGAATTTGACAAATGCTTTAACTTTTAGAGAGCTTATTATAGCTGAATTAAAGTAACATTTGTCCTGCAAAATACAATATTTTTGGTATTAATGGTTTGTTTAGAATACTGATTATCTTGTTGTTAAAGGACAAATTTGTTTTTTTAGCTTAATATAGAAATAGATTGTTTGAATAAATGTACAATTGGCGTTGTTATAGATGAGCAAAATCACTAATCTTGTTTTGTAGTAGAGATTAAACAAATTATTAGCGATTAATTAAATTGAAGGTGCAGCATGATAACAGGGAAAAGACCATAAAGGAGCAAAAAGCCAACACACGCAAAACAGTCTCTGCCAAAACCCATCTGTGTTTTTACTCTACCTAAACACTAATGATAAAAAATATTATATAAAATAAATAAACAACTATCTAAATAAGTAGGAAGAAAGACAGGCCAATCTTTGTTTTTCGGTTACTTTCCAATTTAAATTTACTTTTATTTTTTTCGACAGAAAAAATGTTGAATAAATAAAAAGGGTGTCTTTATCTCTTTGGGAAGGACATAGCTTGTTTCTCTACTCTCTGATTATCAACATGATGGTGAATGTACATGTACAATAATACCATCATAATATATGTGCACGATGTGATGTTATTCGTATGTTGATGATATTGCATGAGGAAAATTGTGTGGATTGTCATTGCTCGCGTGAGAAGCGTCAAGGGCCTCTCATTTTTCTATTAAAAAAAAAAGTAAACAGTTATGAATTTTCTTTCTTTTTTTGAACTTGAGAGTTACGAATTGTATGGCAAATATATATATTTTTTTTTATGAAATAGGAGGAAAACAGAAGTATTATCATTTTTGGCTATATCAGTATTATCAATTTTTGAGGCTTAAATAATTTGACAAGGCTTTCAATGTTAAATATATAGTTTTCAGCCAGTTCTAATTAGTATGAAACTGGTTCGATTTACCTTTCATCGTTCAAGTTCTGAAGGATTTAATAGAAAGTCGACATGTGTGGCATTGTTAAGTACAATCTGTGATTTCTTGTGTAAGATATCAATTGTACAGAATCGATGTCCGGACAAAGGGATAGCTTCTTATTAGAACTACGATATACGTATTAATATGCCGTGAGACAAGACAAAATACGTATTTTTTATATAGAATTATACATAATTAATCTATACTATATAAAAGTTGAGGCTATAAGCCATTGAGGACGTCCACATAGGATTTAAGTCCTCCAATCGTATAATGACACATCATTATATTAGTTTATTATTTTTATAAAATGTCATTGTTTCCAAATTATATTAAAAACGAAATTAATATTCCATATATAACTTAGATAAAAAAATAAATACTAAAATTTTAAAAATTACTTAAAAATGTTAACTGTTATAAAAAAATGGAAATCAAAAATAAAAACGTAATATTAAAAAAAAAATTATTGTCTTTTTAGATATATTAAATGTAAAGTATCATTTTTATAAAATGTCAATGTTTCCAAATTATATTAAAAACGAAATTAATATTCCATATATAATTTAACTAAAAAAAATAAATATTAAAATTTTACAACTTACTTAAAAATGTTAACTGTTATAAAAAATGGAAAAAAAAATATTGACAAAACATTATTGTCTTTTTATATATACTAAATATAAAGTATATTTTATACAAAAATAAAATAATAATCTAATAGTAAAATAGTAAAGTAACAAAAATCATCTTACAAAAATAAAATAAATTT